GATATATATATGTTTGTTGATCTATAAAATAGATATTTCAAGTCATAATACTAATAAAAAAAATCAGATTAATAAATTTCTATTCTGAATGAGACCTCACACGTGCTGCCGCATGGATTGATTTGTCATGGTACATTGTTTCTTATGAATTGCAGCTTTCAGCCTATTTTCATGTCTGGTCTACATTAAACTTAACTTATGGCCAATAACCATATGCTATATATATATAAAAATTTACATACATACCACATAATTATTCTTTATTTACATATCTAGCACCTAAAACTTTTAGATGTTATATTGTAAATACATAAAAATTGTGTGTTATATTGTAAATATATTAAAATTATTTATTTGGTATCAGAGATAGCATGCATAAGGGGGAGAGAGTGGTACTTCTTCAGTTTGAGAGACAAGAAGTATGCCACAGGGCAACGAACGAATCGAGCAACACGTTTAGGCTACTGGAAGGCGACGGGCAAAGATCGACACGTGTTCCGCAAGGGAGCTCTTGTCGGCATGAGAAAGACTCTGGTCTTCTATCAAGGAAGAGCCCCAAAGGGGAAAAAGACCCCGTGGGTGATGCATGAGTTTAGGATGGAATGCTCTAGTTGTTCTCCCAACTTCTCCTCCTTCAAGGTAAATTTTAGAGCCATCACGATTTTTCTGGAGAGAATATTACGTACGGAATTCGTATGCATGCAGACTCTATATATACTGTGTGGCTCGTGCTCGAATGTATAGCACGTTGATTCAAACCAAAGCAAAGAATCTCAATGTGCAGTCTATATTTTGCTCATTCAATCAATAAATCTCGACGCTTCTCTCTCTTTCTCTCTCTAAAAATACTCTATTCTTAGTTGTGTGATTCAGAGACAATTTAGGATTCAACATCTTTAAATATATGTCGCTCATTCTTTCTCTTGTCTTTAGGAGGATTGGGTTCTATGTAGAGCCTTCTGCAAGTGCAGATCACTCTCTACAAAAGTAAGGATGGAGGCTTGCGATGAAGATGCCGGTTCTTCCTCGCTGCCGCCATTAATGGACTCTCAGATTACAAGTCATGATCAGGCTTCTCTCAGCCATGAGGAGCTTGAGCAGGTGCCCTGCTTCTCCAGCTTTTCTGCAAGCCAATCAGCTGCAATTGTTTCTTCTTCTTCTTCATCTTTAAAAGTAGTGCTCAGTAAGCTTGAGGAGAACCAG